TGCATCTCTAATAAGAAAAGCATAATAGATAAGAGTTGAAAGATAACCAATAAAATACTGTACTGTAAAATGTTTTAACAATGTAAAACTGAAGCTAATTCTCCTGTACCTGGAGAATAAAAACCCAATAGAAACATTTAATTCTCAACTCAACAACAAGGTCATGGTAAAATATTAATGCTCCATTTTTGTTAAGACAGAGTCGAGCGTTCAGAACTCACCTAATAAATCCAAATATGTATAATTAAATGTATGATAATTGGAGATGTTCTTTGAAGGCATTAGAGATTTTTTAGAAAACTAATAGGATCATAAAAACTCATTGAAAGAAAAATGATAAATGATAGCAGATCATCTAAAAACTAAACTTAAAAATTCTTTTTTTTTTTTGCTTTTTGTTGTTTTTTCCCCACATATATAAACAATTCTCTGAGTTAAAGAAAACAAATACTTTCCAACACCTTAAAAACACAACTTAGACTTGGACTCTTTATTATTTATCCCTTGGAATTATTCCTTCAGGGAAATTCTGGTTCCAGTAGATTATATGGAGTACAAAATGTTAAAGCAAAAAATACAACAGACAATATAAAAAGAGTGTATATAGTACCAAAAAAGCATTAAAAAACCGTGAGGTTCTGGCGCCTATCCGTTTTCGAACCCCACCCTTATAAAATGTTCTGGCTACGCCTCTGCCTCCTACTGAAGAGGATTAGGGCCACTGAAAAAAAAAAAAAAGTTAACAGATTTTTTTAATTTTATAGTATGGGGAAAAAAGTCAGAATTCTGACTTTTTTCTCATGTTAAACTGAAATAAAATTTAAAAATCAGTTAAGTTTTTTTTTTTCAGTGGCCCTAATCCTCTTCCGTAGCCTCCTCCTTCCCCCAAATGAGGAGTTGGACAGCTTGATGGCTTGGGGATCAAAGGAGTACATAAAACGTACATAAAAGAAAAACTATGGCGATAACTGCATGGTGCTGTAGTAAATGTAAATTTCTATATATTTTTTATCCATAATTCTGCGATGGATGCCAGGTTGTGCTTTTTGGTTGAAGCTCATCCGGTTTGTCTTTTTCAGGTATCATTCTGGTTGCTGTAAATCCTTATAAGCAGCTTCCCATCTATGGCGACGCAATTATTCATGCCTATTCAGGCCAGAACATGGGAGACATGGACCCCCATATATTCGCTGTGGCTGAGGAAGCCTACAAACAAATGGCCAGGTAATGATATTCTACAACACTCGGAACATTAAAGCTATAAGGTAGACTTTGCTTTGCTTTAAAAAACCAACCTTTGCTGAGTCATGCCTCTGCTGATGTCACACTAGTATAACTGCTTGGTTCTTTCTTCCTTTATTTATACCTTCAGGCTGCCTTCAATGCCACATTATGGAGTCACAGAAATATTTCACCCACATTTTAAGATTTATGTACATTTAACTACAATACATAAAGTTAGTGTCATATTTCAGAAGTCGATCATCTATCACCTGATTTCTAGATGCAAGGTTGCAATAATGATTATTTATCTGTTGACTACTTATTTAAATAAATGGGAATTAGATAGCAAAACTTTCTTAAGGAGCATTTTTAAAGAATGTAAACGAGGTGAAGCTAACATTTTGCAACCTCAGGAGTTCAGGACAGAATATATTCAGAGATTTTTTTTTTCTTTAGTGGTTTTGGTTTCTGACTAGAATATTATTATTATTATTATTATTATTATTATTATTATTATTACCCCAGTGGGCCTCAGCAGATGGCCGCTCACACTGAGCCTGGTTCTGCTGGAGGTTTCTTCCTGTTCAAAGGGAGTGTTTCCTCTCCACTGTCGCTACAAGTATGCTTAGTGTGAGGGATTGCTGAAGAGTCAATGAGTCGATGCAATCAGCTGGTTTTCCTTA